CAATCACCTAATTCCTTTGCCAGTGTGACAGCCACCTCCACTCCATCACTTCACTCACGCTGCTGCAGTCCTTCATCTCTCTCCTCCAGCAGTCGTTACTTCTACTGTTTATACGAACAGATACCCAGGCATCCTTTCTGTCCCTGCTTGGTTCTATCATACAAACACAAACACACAAAGACTCGACACATCTTCATCATCATGTCTGACCTCTGTTTCTATTGTAGTCAGTCTTGATTTCTCTCTCTGGTCCTGAATCAAAGTGCAACCGTAGTGGGGGGGGGCTTTTCATTAGCAGCAGAATAATGTTAGGATGAAGAATGAATGCATCCATCTGAGCACATTAGTTATCGTCGAGGAGAACTCTGCCAGAGACGTCTCTTTGTTTTACTGGGTTAGATTTCAGCACATGTTCTGTTTATGCTTTCCTCACTGAGCAATATGAGGGATGCCTTTTAAATTCAAAGTCTGGCTTTATTCTTGCCCTATCCCCGACAGGAGCCAGATTTTCTTAATAAAGCCCCAGATGAATGTGTTTTAAGCCCCATTATTTCCAGACAGAAGACTCTCCCTATTATCTGCTGTGGTTTTCCGTTCTCTCAGGGAAAACTAGGATGATTTGTTGATGCTGCTACTTTTACTATCTTAGAAGGAAACTGGGGATTAAAATGAATACCAGCGGGCCGATTAGCACTGATCCACTACACATAAGGTACTTTGCTTCGGTTATTTATGAACCCTTCACTTTATTCACACTTTGTTGAAAACCTGAATACGTTTATTTTTATTGAATATATATCATTTAACAATCCCAGAGGAACCTAATAAAGAAATTGTGTTTTTGCTTTTCTTGTTGGTCCTAAACTCGAAAGGATTAATTAAACCAAGGAATTTTTATGTCCGTCTATATACAGACGGTACGGAACTTATTCAGAACCCTTTACATTTTTCACTCTTTGTTTCATTGCAGCCATTTGCTAAAATCAAAAAAGTAAATTTAATTTCTCATTAATGTACATTCAGCACTAACCTGACTCCGCCAGATGGATTTGCTCTGCATATCCATCTGGAAACCTTCCGTTGAAGTAATTTTGGGAAGAGGCGAAAATACTGGTTAGCTGATTGGCCTATGTTGGTGATAGACGGGCCAAATAAACCAATCAGATCAACGAAGCATATGACGTATTAACAGCCAGGCTACTCTTTCCGAAACCATTCGGGAGAAGAGCAAAAACATCTTTTCCTCTGAGAAAAGCCTCCAGAGCAGTGTTTTGCTCTTCTTTCAGTGAAGAAATACTCTGTAATTCCGATAAAACTTGCTCGATAGCCACGCTAACGCTAGTTTCATCGGCTGAAGCCGCCATGTTCTTTAGACTGAACTGTCGCGCTTCTCGTTGCGTCACACCTCAACCCGCCTCAAAGCCAACGCTGATTGGACGTTCGTTTGGTGAACGGCTCCAAATTTTCTTTAACGGAGAGTCTCCAGACTGATTAACGAGTGAAACCTTGAAAGCTCGTGAGATCAGGATGGTCTCACGAGGCTAACTCAGCACCCCATATTGACAGAAAAAAAGGGAAATGTAGACATTTTTGCAAATTTATTAAAAAAGAAAAACTGAAATATTACATTGGCGTCTGAATACTTTCTGTACCAACTGTATTTTAATTTAGATTTAACAAAGATGTTCTTGGAAAATGCAGCTAATTTCATTATAAAAAGGACCTGATTCACAGTCATTTAGAAATAAATATTATTATTTATAATTACAGAGTTTTACTAAATAGAAATATGTTGTTTTGAAATTTCTCAGAATTAATTGTTATGCAGTTATTGTGCCTTTGCTAAAAACTGAACTTCTTTGTTTCTTGATGCCCATTTAATCATCAAAATAAAGAAAAACAAAACAAATGTATACCAAGCAAAATGTTCTTTCAGCGTCCGACAGGTACTTTACTTTTTAAAATACTAAATTTTGGTTTCCACTCATTGAAATTCTCTTTTAAAAAGTTGATTTTGAGTTGCAGCAATGTCGGAACCTTGATAAGATAATACACAAAAGGTGCCATCATTAAACATTCCTTTCAGATTTCGTCAGTTTTTCTTTCTTCTGTTCACCCAAGTGTTTCTATTCATCAATGATAATCTGGTCACTACAAATTTTTTTTGGCAACACCATTTGGAAGATTTCAAACAATCTGTTTTGTCTCTCATTTTTTACGAAGTTGTAACTGTTCAGAAAAAAAATAAATAAGAGTTCCTAAATCTCTTAATGTTTTTCGACACGAGGCAACATGTGCTGTAAATACCATGAATGGATAGATGGAAGTAGATGAACTGTCCCATAAATAATCAGTTTTGTAAATCTGAACAAATTTGATTCACTTGATTAGAGGGTTTACCATCTGCCTGCACTACCTGATATTTTTACATCATCTGTTATTAAAAAACATGCAACAAGAAGCTGGATTGTTCTGCTAGCCGTGCCTTTACCCTAAAGAAACCATCTATATGCAATCTGGCAGAACGGATATTTAGCAAAGGGAAAGAGGAAAGCATTTTTTCTTTATTTACAATGGGCAGCTTTATACTTTAAACCGAAGGACTTTAACAAGGGGTCCATGACCCCTAGGGGGTCCACAGAGGTACTGCATGGGGGTCCCCCCTGCAATTTTTTCTACTTATTGAAATGTCTTTAAATCCACATTATGATGAATTCAACAGACTTTAGTAAACAGATAAATGGAGGCAGAAGATGTCTTTCAGTCATCAATGCTCACATTCAGCGACACACAGGAGCTCTTTCAAGCTGGACACCGTTTCATTCACAACACCTGTCCTATCAACCAGGAACCTGAATCAGAAATACTAAAATTACTTTGGTTACATGACACCGTCTGTAATAGAGTGACTATAGGACCAGTTTGATCTAAGAAACTTTCATACATTATATATAATTAGAGGGCTCCCGCTCCACCTCTCCATCCTTGGTCCTTGGCCTGGAAAACTTTGAAGACCCCTGCATTAAGCCATCTAATGCCTTGAGTGATTCACATGGATGCTACATTTTTTTAGCTGTTATTTCTGTTTTTAGTTATCGAGACAATGTGTTTTTTTTGTTTGTTGTCATAAAAAAGCAAAATTAGGAAGTCTTTTTGGGGTTTGTTTCTTCATTTCCTGTTTGGTTTGGATGTAGAAGCTGAGAAAAGGAAATGGCATTGTTTAGACACAAGCAGAAAATTGCTAACAGTGGCTCTAACTACTAATCCAGTTTCTGCTCTCAGCATAGACCCAACACACTTACATCTGAGGCGTCCTAATGTCAGCCAAGCAGGGTCCACATGTCCTGAAGGAAGCCATTAAATCCTAAATACACATTCTTCATTTATGCTACAGACTGATTCAGCTGTCAAACTCAGCAGGACTTAGAGAAGCTGGAAGTTTGCATAAGAAAGTCAACTTTGACCTTCTTCAACCAGCATTAAGAAAATAAAAACAACTTTTTTATCCCTTAATTAATTTTACTGCAGCATATTTTATTAGCTTCCATAAGAAGAGGAGAGCCGTTTTGTGTTCTTTTGAAATCTCTTTACAAAGAACACATTCAAATCTAAGTCAGTTTTTCTTTAAATAAGCGGAGTTGGGAAGAAACCCATAGATTTTACTCAAGTAAGAGTAGAGCTACTTTAAATCTTTTTACTTAAGTTAAATAGATGGTAATCATTCAAGAAATAAATTAAGTAAGAGTAAAATATTCCAAAAACGTAAAAACAAAGGACGTTGTTTTCAAAGTTTGACGTTTTGCTTCCCGTCAAGGAAGCTTTCTTAATTCAAAATGTCTGGATTAGCGTTGAGTTCCAAGTCTTATAGAGTGGTCGAAATAAAGCCTTGTTATGGGTTAGAAAACATGCAAATTGAAGCGGAAGAACAGGTCCACCTCTTAGTAATGGGAGGCATTGAGGTCTTTGTTAGGCTTCCATACCCGATACTGGCCTATGCCTCTGAAAAGGGAAGGTGTCATTGTTGGCCTGGCTGACCATGCGAGATGTGTTTGTCCCCTGCATGGTGATGAGGATTGAGATTATAGAGGGAAGAAATCAACTCTATCACTGCGTTGTAGGTTTGTTAGAAATGGAACCTGAGTCCACCTCCTCTGTTTAAGGTTGTTTTTTTTCTCTTAGCATAAATGGCTTCCTTCACTTGTCTTCTTTGTCCAAAATGTGAACATTCTGGTCCTCAAATGTCTTTTGTCCATAAGGTATCCATCTAATGGACTTTGTTAGGCTACTCTATAAAGCCTGGAACTCAACCCTAATCCAGACATTTTGAATCGTAAAAGCTTCTTGGATGGGAAGTCCACTGGTTTGATTTCTTTTTTTTTTTAACTTTTTTGTAATGTCTACGACCTGGATGACTGAGAATCTTCACCAACTAACAGTAAAATAGTATTAAAATATATTAAAAAGGCTCCTCAATTACTGACTAATTGTTGTTGTGTAGGGTCTGTTTGTTCTTTTTTAGTCCAGTTCTTTCAGTGAAATGTTTGAGCATAAAAGCTCCGGTCTAAAAGAAGAAACAAAACATAAAATAATACAAATTAAAACAGTTTAGTCCCAAGTTTTGCTGAGATGTAGTGTGATAAAGCATAACTGCTTCAGCCACTGCTCTGAGTTTTAAATAGGACCAGAGTTCAACATGTCTCTGCATCATGTCTTCTATCAGAAGCAGTTGGATCCTCTTGGTTTTTGTTATCCATGCTTTTGGGATAAATATGGTGTGAATTACAATTAAAATGGATTTTAATTGTAATTCACACCCATCCATCACTAAGGAGGTGTCTTAGAATTAGATTTATATATTAGTTTACTCTCTCTGTAGTATTTATTTTGTTTTTTTATGTTTTCCCCCAATTTATAACAGCCTCACATTAATGGGTCATTCTATATTTCTGCCACAAACTGTTGAATAACTGAGTTAACTATTCCTCTCTTCCTTCCTCCAGTCAAAGCAACCATCCTGAACTACCAGAGTCCCACTACTGGTCTTTTCCCTGTAAAGACTTTCTCCGACATCAAGGAGGCAAAGGTCCGAGACTCGCTGTATTGTGCTGCCTGCGCCTGGGCCCTGGCGATGGCATACCGGTTAGTAAACAGTTAGCAACACATCCAGGTTCCTCCTCCGTCTCTAAACCGCCTGTTCTGTGATCCACCTCTGCTTGTCTTTCTGGCTTATATATTTAAATCCTGGGCTTATTTTGGGGCTATTTTCAGGACTAATTCAGTTAATTAATGAGGTGCTCAGTAATTATGCTAATAGTGTATGATTACTTGGCAGACAGTTGGACTGCATGTAATTGTGGAATATCTGCCACCAAACACACTCTGGGGATTGTGTCATTTTTCTGGCCGCTGTTTATTTAGCACAGCCGCTTCGACTGTTGTAGATTTTTATTTTGTGTTTAAATGAATGCAAACTATGATGAATCGTATCATAGCAAGTCAGTAATCACCTTAACGAATACATTTCCAGGTTATTTTTAGAAATAACCTTAAACTGCAGACATTATTTCACACGTCTGTAATCAGATTACTTACAGTTGCTACAACTCTATCAGTCAAGTGACTTTTTATAAATGCCGTCTGTCTGCAGCAGGGAGAAATTTATACTGCAGGCAGGGCAGGTAGAGGCATAGGTGACTCTGATTGGACATCGAAACCATTTTGAGAACCAAAAGTTTATTCAACTATTGTCACCCATTCCAGGTAGGAAATAAAAAGTTCTACTGGATTCACTTTGTTTTAGTCTTTTTCCTACTTCACAAAGGTAGGCAGCTACGGAAGAGGATTAGGGCCACTGAGAAAAAAAAAAAAAGTTAACTGATTTTTAAATTTTATTTCAGTTTAATATGGGAAAAACGTCAGAATTCTGACTTCTTTTCTCAGAATTCTGACTCTTTTCTCAGAATTCTGACTTTAATCTCAGAATTCTGACTTTTATCTCTGGATATGACTTTTTTCTCAGAATTCTGACAGCTAACAAACATGTTAGCATCCAGCCATAGCCATGTCTGTTTTGGAGACTGGCTCTCTTGTTTTAATGACCTTCTGCTCCTCCATTAATGAGGGGACCCCTCAGGCACGTAAAAAGTTGCCTAATTCCGTCATTTTCCACCAATGTGTCACCGGCCACCTTAAACAACTCACATCTTTGTCAGTGAAGCTGAGTGCTCCACATCTCTTCCTTCATGGTGCCCATCTACATTAAGATCCAAAATTCTGAGATTAAAGTCAGAATTCTGAGAAAAAAAGTCAGAATTCTGAGATAAAAGTCAGAATTCTGAGATTAAAATCAGAATTCTGAGAAAAAAAGTCAGAATTCTGAGATAAAAGTCAGAATTCTGAGATTAAAATCAGAATTCTGAGATAAAAGTCTGAATTCTGAGATTAAAGTCAGAATTCTGAGAAAAAAGTCAGAATTCTGAGATTAAAGTCAGAATTCTGAGAAAAAAGTCAGAATTCTGAGAAAAAAAGTCAGAATTCTGAGAAAAAAGTCAGAATTCTGACTTTTTTCACATGTTAAAGTGAAATAAACTTTAAAATGTCAGTTAACTTATTTTTTTTCAGTGGCCCTAATTCTCTTCCGTAGGCAGCAGCTTGTCAAAGCCATGATGATAATTATTTTTACATCCAAGTAGTCTGCAGTTCTTCATACACACACATCAATTTGAAACAGATGGTTTCAGTATCGGCCGATACTGCACAGCCAGGTAACAAGTATCGGCATCGGCGCAACACTAATATACAGTAACTCTAGACGTCTGCTTCTGTTCCACCTGCATGAGATGAGAGGAACAGAAAAAAACAGCAAAAAGAAGACAAAAAACAACTAAAGTAAATAACAAGAAAACACTCGAAGAGCAGCTGCTGTCCCTTTAGATGCCCAAGTATGTTGAAGGTAAAACTTATGTTGATTCTACTATATTATTCAAATTTTAAAACAAGAATCCCTCATGACCATCTTTAACGTCCTAAAGCCCTTTATCAGCTGCTCTTATTTCATGAATGTCATTCATCACTGATGACTTGGAAAGTGGGAAAGAAAAAAGGCAACGAAAAGAAAAGAAAGTCTGGAAAATCTGGAGAAAAAAAGAAAATTGGGGGTCAGCAGCAAAAGGAGGAGTGTGTGAGGAGATAACCGGATAGGAAGTAAAAACAAGGGATGGGAAGAAAAAAAGAGGGCGAGGAAATTAGATTGTGGGGGAAGACGAAGTGAAGAGAGGGGGTAAAAATAGAGTGCACTCCAGTGATGTGACCAGCAGCTCATCCCAGTCATCAGTCATGGCTGCCTCCTATTAGAATTGTCACTGGGATTTAATTAAGATGATTCTCATCTGACAGGCTTGGCTTGTGCCATTACTTACTTCAGAGCGATCCGCCGCATGTGTGTCAGAGCGAGCGGCTGAAACGCTACAAACTCCGGCTCTGAGTGCACTTTGGCCTTTATGCCAATATTTATGTTCTATTTAGTGGTTTTGCTGTTCAAAATGATGAGCTTGTTGTTGCAGTTGGAAAAAAAAAACTGCTTAATTTTTCCAAGTAAGCATAAACATAGAGTAGTAGGTAAAAATGGCAGCATCACCAGTCACCTCTACCTAAAAACTAATTTATAATCAGTTTTTTCACTTTATTACCATGGTCTGAATTATTTTTTTAGATAAAAGATGAAGGAAATTAAATGTCATAAAACATAAGAAAGTTATGTGTCTGTTCAAAAGATAATTTGAAAAAAAAAACTATTTAATCTATGCCACATAAGGGCATCTGGATAGCGAATTTTTACAAAAAAAAAACCCATTTACATCTAATCAGGGGCGGGTTTAGGAAATTTTGGGCCCTTAGCAAAGACAGGCAGGGGACCCTCTGAATTAAGAAGACAAAACATAAAACAGACCCACGGATACAGAAATGTTAATATAATAGACATACATTATTTGTTCTACGTTTTGTCCCTATTCTTGTTTTCCTCTGTTTTTTACTCAGCTGACTTTTCATGTCGTTTCAAAAGGAATGAAACTAAGCTCGCTTAACCGATTGCTCCTTCCTGTGTTTCCAAAAAGGCGACAGCAAAAGTAAATAACCCAGTCCTTCTTTCCACTGTAGACAAGCCATGATCTGCTTATCTGTTCTCCATTTTTCATTTGCATGAAATAATAGCTGCATGAATCATGACAGCAGACAAGATAGAGGAGAGCAGGAGGCGGGGTTACCAATCTACTTGCTCTGGAGAGCAGAGTTCGCTGCTTTTATATGCTGTCGCCAAAGTCTCCAGTAGCAGAAAAAAGGCACTAGATTTGGCGCTAGGTGCTTTTTTGAAATAAAAGCGCTAGAGGGGTCTGAAAAGTCGCTGAATACACCTTTGCCTGAGACACGCTTAATATTATAAGCATTCTGATGGCGTTTTAATTAAGGGATTTTTATTAAATACATAATTAATGTGTAAAAATAAGTAATAGCTGTATGGAAAAGGAGTTTTATGGGGCCCCCAGGAACTTGGGGCCCTAGGCAACTGCCTAGTTTTGCCTAATGGTAAATCCGCCCCTGCATCTAATATTAAAATGTATATAATTATGTTTTGGTACATTTTGGTGTTTGTCAGAAAATGACAGGTTTCACTTTTTAGACTTAAACAACTTTTATTGTCATTTTGTAGACGCAGAAGGTAAACAAAACAACATTTTGTTTAGTACAGCTTTTCAGACAGGAAATGGAAATTTCCATTCCATAAATTGCAGCAAAATCACTGAAAATCACAACATTTTCAGATTTTCAGGATCTGTATCTTCCAGTTACAGATTCAATTAGTGAATTAGTTCAAGATTATCCCACGCATCCATTAATTGAAATTGATTCAATCAATCGTTTCTTCCCTAGATCAGTACACTGGAAAAATAGAAATCTAAATAAGTGATTTGTTCTTGGATTTAGGAGGAAAAAGAGACATCTTGCCAATGGAACAAGACAATTTACATTTCAAATAAAAAAACACAATTGTATTGTCGTATTTCAAGTGCATATTATCTAATTATCTTATTTTAAGAGTGAAAATGCTCATCCTATTGGCAAACTATCTCATTAACCTCCTCAAATCAAGGGTAAATACACTTAATTTAAGACGTTTTTACTTATTTCCTGATTGTTTTTGCAGTCTTACACCTGGTTGTCTAGTACCACTGCTCTGCATGTTTTAGATGCATCTCTGTTTAGGCACACCTGCTTCCAATCATAGTGAGGTCCTCAGCAGCCGTCAAGGAGCCTGTTAATCAGCACTTCATATAAGTTAGGGGTGTGACACCAAGGAGGCGCCTAAAACGTATAGACTAGCGGCATTTGAAGAGCAGGATGGGAAACCACAGCCCTAAATAATTGTTATAGCTGAACTATTTAGTTATTTCAAACAAATAACTCCCCAACACTAAGAGAGTGTTAGTCTAGTGCAGGGGTCACCAACATGGGGCCCACGGGCACCAAGGGACCCTCAAGGACCACAAGGGGTGCCCTTAGAGTCTTCTGAAAATAGAACAACTCAACAGTGAGCTAAGTTTGAAATTTCATTGTATTCTGTTGCTCTTCTTTTTTTAATCAGTTATAGAACATTTCATCATTTAATCATATAGGGCAGGCATCCCCAAACTCAGTCCCCAAGGCCCCCTGTCCTGCAGGTTTTAGAGGTTTCCTTGCTCCAGCACAGCTGATTTTAATTGAAAGTTGATTACATGGGCGTAGGTTTGCATAGGGACCATAGGGACATGTCCCTACCAAAATTTTGAACCGACCTAATTGTCCCTACCAATAATTGGATGTGAGCAACATGTTTATAATTTACAGCAGTAGTTGTTGCAGCAGTGGCTTCTTTTCCTCTCGCAGCTCCTCTGCCTGGTCTCTCCTGTCCCTTTCATGTAGCAGCGCATGGAACTGTGCTGCGCTGTTTAACTCCACTCTCATTGGTTGTTCTGGCTTAAGTTCCGCCTTCTCTCTCTCTGATTGGCTGTTTTCTAGTCTGCGTGTGCATGGAGCACAAAATTGAAAATGTATTCACTCTAGAATGCCGCGGTTAGTATAATTAATATTAGGCTACAAAACAAGTCCCAATTTAAAAAAAGGAATATCATGTACACTAAAAAACAAAAACCTTTTGTTTTCTTTTATAAAACGAAATATTCTGAGTCAGCCAGGAGTTCTGGAAAAATGGGCAAATAAAGGCTGTAAGCCATCAACATTTCTGATTCTTAGCCACAGCCAATAAAAAAAGAAAATGTGAGGGTTTCCTTTTTGCCTATATCTAGTTGCTATTACTGTTTTCATTTTTTGATGACTCTTTGATGAAGTTCAGGTATAATTATTATCAGGTGTTATTTCTCTTATACAGTTTAACAAAAAGAAATGGCGCCTATACATCTGCTATTTTTGGTTTAAAAAGGATAATTGGGGTTAAACATAATAATAGTAAGGAAGAATATCAGAGGAAGAATATTAATATTGATTTTATCTTACTTAGATTTCCACACATTCTATAAGTAAATTATTACAAACATTAATGTCTGGTAAAAATTTTTGAATCTTATTTTGGATATTATTAAATTCCAAATAAAATAGTGTTATATTGTCTTTTATAATTGTTAAAAGTGATTTTATATTTATATTTTTTTAAATCATATATATATATATATATATATATATATATATATATATATATATATATATATATATATATATATATATATATATATATATATATATATATATATATATATTGTATTCTTACAATCTAAGTGGGTTGCTCTGTCGGGGAAAGGCACATTTTACATTTATATTACTGTATGTTTTAAAGTCTCCATACTCCAGTTAATGATGAATCACTTACTAAATTAGTTAACGATTATTGAAATAATCAATTAATACTATTCATTTTTTTTCAGACCCAGATAAAATACATGAAAGGGGCTATGCAGAGTATCTACAGCCCAGATGTTCAACTTTTATAGTGAAGTTAATATTTTAATGAATGTATTATTTTGTTTGATACAGAGAGAGCATAGTAGGTAAAATATAAGAGTGGGGTTTAACTCTGCACAATTCTATATCTTCAAAGGAAAATCCTGTATTTACCTTCTCTCTTAGTCGTTCAAATGAAAAGATTTTCACAGTGGAAAAAAGTCCTAATTCCACATTCATCAGAGCCGGTGATACTTCAAACATTGATAAACAGCATCTAATGAGTGTAGTGCTTATACATTTGTTATTAATGTAGCAAAAGGATGCTTCTCTGTTTTAACAATGAATTCCTCTTAGTACGGATGCTTACATCGAGCTTAAATAAGGGCATGAATATTGCATAGCACCAATGACACCCGACCAATAGTGTCCCTACCAAAGTTCAAATCAAACCTACGCCCTTGGTTGATTAACAGGCTTTTGGTCTACTGCAATCATTATAACCAGCTTTGCTGAAGCAGAGAAACCTCTAAAACCTGCAGGACATGGGGCCTTGAGCACCGAGTTTGGGGATGCCTGATATATGGCATTTAAGCATTTATAGAGATTTTAAAATGAAAATGTCTAAAAGAAAATTATAAATTTAAAGAAACGATAAAGACGTGTTTATGATGTATGAAGTTTAGGTGAACATTGACCATTGCAATTCAGAGGTCAGTATTGGTAGCCCTTCCTGTGACTCAGTGCCCCTGAATTAGCCCTCAGCTGTAAAAAGGTTGGTGACCGCTGGTCTAGAGTGTTAGAGCAGAGCGTTTGTGCTCTGAGAAGGTTGCACTACCCGGTTTGATCCCCTGTATTCTGGGTCCCTGAGCAGGACCATTGCTCCCGAGGGGATGCGTCAAATGCAGAGAGTGCATTTCCCCAATGTGGGACAATAAAGGGATTTACATTATTTACTAAAGCTTGATGGGGGTAAAGAGCAGAACTAAACATTGGACATTTCTAAGCTGTGCTGTTCCTCCAAGGGTCTCATCAGAGACCTGAGAAAACCACAACATCATCCTTTCAGATATGAATGACAGCTAAATCACTGCTTGATATAATTTGCAGAATGTCTGCTTTTGTATGATACTGTGTGCGTTTTTATCAGACCCCAGCTGTTCCTTTCTTCAGGCCTCGCCTGTGTAGAACAGCACCGTTAAAGCGCTGGTTTCTCTTCATCCCTTTCTGTGCAGACGCATTGATGATGATATGGGACGCACACATGAGTTGGAGCATTCTGCCATCAAGTGCATGAGAGGGATCCTCTACTGTTACATGAGGCAGGCGGATAAGGTGAGTCCTTCTCAGCTCTGCTTTTATATTTTTTTATTAGAATAGTCTCGTGTTTTGATGTTTAGATCCGGAGCGCCTCTTCCAGCTGAGACCCAGATACATCTCCTTCCTGTTTTTAAATGCCGACACTTGACAACAGGAAGAAGAGGCTTCAGCCCTTAAGGCTTAATAACTCACCATGCATTAATTACCTTGGACTTTCACTCCTAATGGGGCTGAGTTATTTCATTTGACCAAAGTCAGATGGCTGCTGCCTAACGCAGTCCTCATGAGCCACATCCTTCAGCGTCGGAGGCTGTTTATGTAACTTTTAGAAAGCTGCTCCGCTTCGTCTCGACCCCGACGACCCAATTCAGAGGAGAGCTTTCCTGTGTCTTAATTACAAAGCTTCGTTTACACAGTTAATTACACAGAGCGCCGTTCGTCATGGACCCGTCTCCGGCACTTAAGAACTACACAGCGTTTTTATTGAAGATGTGACACGGGCCGGCTGTTGGGTAAAATAACACAGCAGCTGGGCCCGGCTCATGCACAGCGTTTGGGACAGTCGAGGCCTTTTCCTTCTTAATCACATTTAAAACCAAACATTTAAGCATTAAGGAATCCACAGCAAATAAACTGTGGTTCGTTAAGGTTTGGGTTAAAAAAAAGACAAACTGAAAGCTCTGCTTTTGTGCGTAAAGAAAAAGAAGCTAATAGTAATTTGATGTTGAATATTTAGGAGAATTTTCCTAAATGGAAGATTTACTCTCACCATTTTTTGTTTTAATAATTAAACTTTGCTCATGGACAATAATTTTCCCAAGCAAAACGTATAAAGAAACTAGTCTTATGTGTCCTTATGGGTGGAACTGCTGTCACTTTTAAAACCACATCATTTTCCTGGTTTACCTTCATTATAATTAGTTCCTAGACCAGAGGTCACAGTTAGCGTCCCGATCCCGGGCCAGAGTAGAAATCTAAATCCTGTCCCGTCCCACTCCTGGTGAAATGACTCCTGCTCCCATTCAGAATGACTCCCGCTCCTGCACCACTCCCATTCTTGCTGTCTTCAATAAGATTTCTGCCAATGCATTGAATCTGAATTTCTATGAAGGGTCAGTTAAGTTCCTGTTTCTAACTGTAGTAACTTTTGGTCCCTCCATTGTTGTTTTTGAGCGTGGATGAAAAACTCAGAGCGGAAGCACTGTTGGTTTTTGCGTCGTGTAGTTTTTTTGACTCGCATTATAGTGTAGGCTTCAAGGAAAAAACTACAAAATGGCGGCGCCAGTACTGGATTTTTTTTTTTCTTTCTATTTTATTTTCTTTTTTGGCATCGATCCTAGTTTTTTTTAGTTACTGTTGGTTTGCTCCCGCTCCTGTCTGCTCCCGTTAATGTTTAATCCTGTACCGTCCCAATCACGTGATCGTTACTAATACTGACTCCCGAAAAAATGTCAGTCTCTAAGGCTACGTTCACACTGCAGGCCTTAATGCTCAATTCCGATTTTTTTGTGAAATCGGATTTTTTTGCGTGTCCGTTCACACTTCCAAGTATATGCGACTTGTATGTGATCTACTGTGTGAACTGAAAGCGTTCAACCAAAGTGTCGCGCATGCGCACTCGAGGACACGATGACGTCACATGTAGCAAGCGTCCTCAGTGTTTGCGGAAGTAAATATGACTCGTAATACCGCAGCGTATATTGCGTTCTTTAAGTTCTTCTCCAACAGGAGCAGGCACATTACGAACGAAATCTTTTTAAGAAGATCAAAAAGAAAGACCCTCCCCCGGTTCCGGTAAGATGATTGGCCTGAATCGAGCTATCTTTCCAAATATGAATTAAGTCAGCAACCTCACTTTCAGGCTGCAGTGTGAACGTAGCCATCAGACCCACCTGCTGCTTAATCCGGACCCAACATGATTTAAAACATTTATAAATTACCGCATGCTGTCCGACGACGGTGTCTAAATGTCACTTGCGCCGTTTCTCCTGTTTGTTTGGAAAATATTTGCTGTTTTTATGTGAATTACGAAATTATCTTTATACCAAATTTAACAAGTGTTTTTCTCTACTTTAAAAAACACTTTGATTTTTTCAAATAAAAAAAAAAATATATAAAAATATTTAAAATTTGTAAAATCCAATGTATAACATGGATGCATAAACACCTCATTTTATTCCAGTCTGAAATTCTGTTTAAAGTTTAAAGTCGAAAATTATAATTTAAAATGTCTCTGGACCTTTACTGGTCAATGATTTTCTTTATTCAGACCCTGATGATTTTTAATTGGTTACCTCTGTCCAAGAAGAGCTCATTTTCCTGCAGATGAGTTGATCTTAGTGTAATGCAGCTCTGCCCACCTGTAGTTGCACATTGCTGGTCAGCTGGCTGAAAGAAGGCAACCACGTTTTTCCTTAGGGTACAAAAAAACTGATACTTTTATCTTAAATTAAGCAACTTTGAAGTAGAATTATTCAACCGTTTTTTCTTCTGTACTGTGTAATAGTTTTTAAAAATTTCTATTAGGAAATTTGAGGAAAAAACGACCAAAATGCATCATTTATTCATCCTATTACTAAAAGAAATGCAGTTTTCTGCTGTTTAAGACTTTGTTTTTAATAAAGAGGGAAATATAAATAAGGATAAAACACAAAAAATGTCTATCAGCTCCTAGTTAGTGAAAGAAAAGGTGTCAAATAATATTGGTTATACTTTACAAACTAAAATCATGTTAATTGTTGCAAATGCTTGAATTTACTGAGTTTTCTAACAGAAACTCCAGGTATGTTTGTTTGTTCCTCTCTGCTGTTAAAACCAGCTTGTTGCATTTGCAGCATTTTTAATTGGGATAACTAATAGATTATTTGGATGCAACAGGAAAGAAGACTGTGTCGAAATATAATTGCATATAACAAATATGAAAACAAAAGATGGCTTCCTATAATTTAGATGAAGTGGATTGTATCTTTAAAATATTTGCTGTTAGTTTGATTTAGTTGCATTGTTTCCTTTGCTTTGGGAAATGATACAAACTGCCTGGGAAACTTCAGGATACAAGATTTTATGTTTTTTTTTTTATAAATGAGTGAAAGTCAAGTGCTGCAACAGCAAGAATTGAACACAGACCTACTATAGGTTTGTGCATTGCAAGCTAATAAAACAAACTATTCTAAGAGAGTCCCAAGAGTGGAGCCGGCTGACATTTTAGATGAGTTGGACTGAGATTCAGGCGGTCCACTTCAAAAATAGCTGCTTTTATCCAAATTTGAACAGCAGGACCAATTAGGCTCTCCAAGCACACTTAGGTGTATATCCATACTGCTGTGGGACCGCTGCATGTGGAGCAGTTTCAGGAAAACTAGGACAGAGGGTCTCGACTACCACCTCGCTGTGCAGGAACACGGAGAGGGCGGGGAAAGGTAGAGTCCCTAACAAAAGAAGAAAGGAATAAATGGGGTGTCTGCAGAAAAAAGATAAGACGAACCAAAACAGTAGAGTGTGTGATAGAAAGCTGAAAAAGGAAGACTTGAGGTGAGGAAATGAGGAGAAAGGTAGAAAGGCTTGAAGACTAAGATAGCAGGGAGAGATGGAGAACAAATGAGAGAAAAATGGGACAAAAGGCCAATTATTTATAACTGTATGACAGGACTGGCAGCCCAGCTGTGATTTAGTATGGAGCTGAGTCGATGCGGCAAACACACACAAAGCCGCCGACAAACCACCGAACAACATGATGCAGCCAAGAAATTATAGAGGGTGGATAATAAAGCATGTTATAGATGAAGTGACCTGAATATGACCCTTATCTGCTATAGAGCAGGGTCTAATCTTCCCCTCATGACTCTCGTTTAGGTTATTCTTTATCGAACAGGCATGTTCATCTGATGTGGGAAAAAATATGTTTAATATGTGTCACTGAGGCGGCATGAGAAGCTTCCGGTCAAATGCTGGATGGGATTTAAATAGGGATATAATATTTAAATTGATTTGTTTATTTATTATGTTTTTTTAGAAAATCTAAAAAAAATATTTTAGTATATAAACATTTTTAAAGTCATACAGAAGTCATATTTAAATGGATTTGTTTGTTTTTTTAGTAAATCTAAAAAATATTTTAGTATATAAACATTTTTAAAGTCGTATGGAAGTCGTATTTAAATGGATTCCTTTATTAATTATGTTTTTTTAGAAAATCTAAAAAAAATATTTTAGTGTATAAACATTTTTAAGTTGTAGGGAAGTCGTATTTAAATGGATTTGTTCATTAATTATGTTTTTTAGTAAATCTAAAAAATATTTTAGTATATAAACATTTTTAAAGTCATAGGGAAGTCGTATTTAAATGGCTTAATTTATTAATTATGTTTTTTTAGAAAATCTAAAAAAAATATTTTAGTATATAAACATTTTTAAAGTCGTATGGAAGTCGTATTTAAATGGATTCGTTTATTAATTATGTTTTTTTAGTAAATCTAAAAAAAATATTTTAGTATATAAACATTTTTAAAGTCATACAGAAGTCATATTTAAATGGATTTGTTTGTTTTTTTAGTAAATCTAAAAAATATTTTAGTATATAAACATTTTTAAAGTCGTATGGAAGTCGTATTTAAATGGATTCGTTTATTAATTATGTTTTTTTAGTAAATCTAAAAAAAATATTTTAGTATATAAACATTTTTAAAGTCATACAGAAGTCATATTTAAATGGATTTGTTTGTTTTTTTAGTAAATCTAAAAAATATTTTAGTATATAAACATTTTTAAAGTCGTATGGAAGTCGTATTTAAATGGATTCCTTTATTAATTATGTTTTTTTAGAAAATCTAAAAAAAATATTTTAGTATATAAACATTTTTAAAGTCGTATGGAAGTCGTATTTAAATGGATTCGTTTATTAATTATGTTTTTTTAGTAAATCTAAAAAAAATATTTTAGTATATAAACATTTTTAAAGTCATACAGAAGTCATATTTAAATTGATTTGTTTGTTTTTTTAGTAAATCTAAAAAATA